AGGCTAGATAGGATCTGTCATTCGTAGTCTGGGCGCCGAGCGCCAGATAGGATATCAACATTGGTTCTTCGTTGATGATGATGAGACTATTCTGTTTGTTAAGGAGCGGGTTCCGTAGGGCTCTGTTTGTTTGTTTGTTTTAACAAAAAAAGGAGGATGGCAGGATGACATCATGACAGTCATAAAAAAAAAGGAAAAAAAAAGGAGGTTAGTCCTCCATGAGTATGAGAGCTGCAGGCATCTTCATCCTAAGTTCCTAACCCATAACTGTCGACATGCAGACCTGAATGCCAATCTTCAGCATATATTGGTGGTTGGCTGGCCATGCGAAACACATCTAGTGACTTCTGTGAAGCATCGCAGGCAGGTCGCTATTGGGCAAATACCCCCGTCTTGCAAATTTTTCCCACCACTGTGTGGGATTTGCAGAAGGGAGGGGGAAGGCCAGTTTCCGCACCCCGCCTAAAAAAAGTTGGAATCCCGACACCTCCACAACCCTTAAAAAAAAAAAAAAAAGGAATCATTGAGCCCTATTTTCATGATTCGCCATTTTGAGACTTTTAGGGGAAGGGCCTCAGCTGCGGAAATCGAAATTCGGCAGCCCTTGCCCAAAAAAAAAATTTGGGCCGCGGGCGCGGCCGGTTTCTGAACTCGTGCAGTGAATTTAACATTTTTGCCGATTGGGGGCCCTATGAAATTACAAACCCCCACTCTTTTTTTTTTTTTTTTTTTGGACTTAATTTTTCCAGTGCGGTACGCTTCCGTGTGCTGTGCGGTGCGTTAGGATTCAGGAACTTAGGATGAAGAAGCCTGTAGCTCTCTCGTTTTTTTGTTTTTGTGTTCTTATGAATACGTACAGTGGGGCCTGTTCCACTACTCAACACATGCACAAAAGACATAGCATATGGCGGTGTATGGTGCCATGTTTTAGCAGAAGATTCATTCTACTAATGTTGTATACATTTGGTGAGTGGTGGAGGGAGGCCCTGAGAATCACGTAGAGACACAAACAGAGTCTAGTAGCTGAATTGGTGACCCATAACTGCTGAACTACAGCCCCGAACTAGAACCCACGACATATATTGGTGGTCTGCTCCCACCTCTTCTGCATATGTCGTGGCCATCCTTGTCGTCGAAGTTATGGTCCTCAATGACACCACATATATTGTAGGAGCCATTCGAGGTACCGGCAGGGGCCCTCAAATTGACGTGAAGGGGACCCTTTG